TTTTAAAAAATGTTTTCACAATAGTTGCAATTCTTTTAAATTCAGTGAAATAGTTGAACACAAATAAATAAGATGTTTATAAACAAAAGTGTTCCATGTATGTAACTGAGTTGGTAGCGATATTTCAGAATAACATAATTGTTCAGTTACAGGTCTTGTTTTAACAAAGAACAGCATGTTTGCATAATGAAGAGCTGTTATCATGAGATAATGTTTATAATATTAAAGAAGAAAAACAAAGCATAAAGTTATACTTATGGTCTCATCATGATTATGTTAGGAGCAGGATAGCAAAAAGAGAAAAATGTATTGTATATTACTAACATCACTCATATTTGAACTATGGGCTTTAGGAATGACTTTTGATAATAACTTCCCTGATTTTTCAAAATTTATGTATTTATGTTTGCTCATATATTTAGATTTTGGTGGTAAAGATACAAAACATAAAGCTCACCACTTGTAACAATTTTTAGGTGTATAGTTACTATACATCATATATATATATATATATATATATATATATATATATCTTAAAATATAGTATATATATTAGGTATTTTATATAACTAAAAATATAGTTGCCAGTGATTTACCTGGCATTGTGTGCATTCATGTGGCTGTGGAACTGCCATGGCTACTCTGGAATCATTAAGCTTTCCCAGTTGAAACTCTGTCCCATTAAGCAACAACTCCCTATTGTTTTCTTTCCCCAAGCCCCAGTAGGTAACTATCACTCTACTCTGCGCTTATGAATTTAACTCTGCTAGGTACCTCATATAAATGGGATCATGTAATAGTTGTCCTTCTCTATCTTGATTATTTGACTTACCTTAAGGTCCTCAAGGTGTGTGTCAGAATCATATTCCTATTTAAGACTGAATACTATTTCATGATATATGTATATGCCACATTGTGTTTATTGCTTCATTTGTTGATAGACGTCTGAGTTGTTTTCACATTCTGGCTAGTATGAACAATGAGGCTATAAACATTGGTGTATAAATATCTGTTTGAGTTCGTGTTTTCATTTTGGTCCATGTTTCTGTTTAAGTCCATATTGCTTGAGTGTGTGTGTGTGTGTGTGTGTGTGTGTGTGTACGAGCATGTGCGTGTATGTGCACACATGTGCGTGCACACAAAGCACTGCTTGATTGCATGGCAATTGTATTTCATTTTAATTTTTTTTGAAGAATCAGTGTTGTATTTTCAAGAGGGCTACAGCATTCCCACAAGTAATGCACGACGGTCCCAATTCTCTGCATCCCCCAATCACTATATATGGATTGAATGCACCTAAAATGCACCACTCTAGCCTCTTAAAATGAAAAATGCTGGGGGAAAAGTTCAAAGCTTCTGTTTTCTGTTCTTTTAATAACTTAGGCACACTAATGCTCCTCAAGAACCATGGATATTTCTATGTGTTAGACACCATTCTCAGATATTTTCATAGAATATATAACCCCTTTCAAAATCCTGTGAAATATTGTCCCTTTTGCAGATAGGTAAGCAAGATACACAAAAAAGAAATACCTTATTCATGCTCACATTGTAAGTAAGAACAACATGAATCAAAGCTGTGCCTCTACGCACTTAGCCAGACTCTTCCCGTCTGAGAATGTTCGTCTCTATATTAAGTCGGTCCAGATTAATACTCTGTACTCTTGTAAAATCTGTGGATGCTACTTAATGTTTTGTTTTCTTTCTCCTGATCTTACTCCTGCTGATTGTAAAAATACTTGCTTCTAGCTATTGCTTCCTCCTCACCTCTTGTGTTGATATTAACAAACTGCCATTAGGAAAATCAAGTAAAGAAGAGTGTTACAGCTTAAGTGCTGAGGTTCTAGGGGAAAATCTGAGGGGTCAGCCGAAGGGTAAGCACACAGGACTAGGTTTTTGGCTTTGATCTCTATTTTGTGGTACAGTGACATACATTGCTTATTTCTGGCTTTCTTGTGTTGCAGGTACTGAGTCTGCTATTACAAATGACCTCTGTGCTTACTGTTTTTCCTACTTATAATTTGAAATACAATGCAAGTCTAGGAAAAATTTGCTTTCCCAAAACAACAGATATCCTTTCAATGTTTCTAAAATGTCTAGCCAATATTTTCATAATATTCATAAAGACTCAAGCAAAAGGCTTTTGGTGTTGGAAGAGTCTGGTCCCACAGCAAGGTTATTCAAATTATAGATTACAGCTGCCATCAATATCAGCTTAGAATATCCTTTTACAATTTATTATATGTGATATATATTTTTTTGTTTAGAAACAGAAAATATATCTGTCTTTGTCACACACACGCACACACACACACGTGCACAGAGTGAAATGCTGAGAATCTAATGCTCAAAATATCAAACTTCCACTAGTTAAATACATATAGCAAAGAGTCCTTCTATGTACCCAAAGCTCAAAAGCTTTCTTTTTAAAAATAGATTATTAATATGCCTCCCATACTGTATCACCAACTGTTTTTCTGGAAGTTTCTGATATTGACATTTCTGAAAGTTACCTTTTGTGAAGAACACAAATAAAACTGAGAGGAAATTCTCCACCTAAAATACAAAAGGAAAAGAAAAATTAAGGTTACTCTATAGAAATTGTAGAGGAGAAAAATTCTAGAAGCTTAAACACTGTTTAGCCCATTAAGAAGTGAATAATAAATATAATCTTTGTATTACTAAACTTATCATTAACATCTATTTAAATACTCTAAACTGTTTTACTCAACAAAGTCAGAGAGCTGGGAAAACAGAGGAAACTGAAGGAATGCTTTGTTGAACAAAACCAGATAACTGATTTAGGTGATGAGGAAATGGTCATTATTTTCTGTTTCAAACATTTTGTACCCAGCTAAAGTTAAAGCTGAAAAAAAGAAAGTAAAGTCTCTGCTGCTTTACTCTTTTTGAGCCTGAGTTCCCTGGACCCAAAGGTTCTACTAGGTGAGAAACTTCCATTTCACTCTGGTTTGATCATTTTCACACTGACTAACAGGAGTACTGCTAAGAACCACCCACGTACTGAAAATTAATGATTCTAATAACATTTAGGGTGTTTGTTTGTTTTTGATAATGTACACCCTGCTGTGCAGCTTAATGAATGTACTATAAATTGTCACATAGGAAGTGGCCAGGCCCTCACCATTCAACCACACCCACCTTTTCTTAGGCACAGTTTTGTGCAACTCATCGTCCCTGGAAGTCAGGCTCTGCCCTCTGACCCTTAGCTTCTCTGTATTTCTATTTGTTCTTATTATTCATTCTACTGTTACTTTATATGGGGTTAAATGTCTTCATATTAAGCTACATGTACATTATGTTTTATTATTCTTATCACCCACATTAACTACAATGGACTAACTGTACAGTGAGATTTAATTATGAACTTATTTCTAAGTTCTAATAAGTTAGTGTAGAGAAGAAATTGTTGAGGGTGAAATATTTTTATGGCTAATTGAATTGTAGAAATGCGCAACAATAAACCAAATGAATGTGAAGGCTGGGCTTCTCACTACTAAGTTCCTCTGCCCACAAATAACATTAACTATTTAGTTGGATCTGACTTCTTGTTTGTTTTAAAGAGAAAAAGAAAATTTCAAAACAAGATAATAGGAAGGTAACAATGGCTAATACACTGAGTATTATCTTTAAATTTGTTACTCAGAGTGTAAGGTATTGACAATTAATTGTCCAATAATATTAGCACAAAACTTTTTTCAATGAACTAAGAGAAAAGAGTAGTATAACTACTTTAACTACTATATATATATATATATATATATATATATTCAATATATGCATTTGGATCTGACTTCTTGATTTGGATCTGACTTCTTGAAGCTGATATAAAATAAATTTCCAAATCTTGAAAACTGTTAAATGGAAATTCACTGTATTTTTGCGGTGGTCATGAAACAGTGCCAAAAACATTTCAGGAAACTTCTGAGTAGGAATAAATGATGCTTAGAGGGGGAAAAAAAAAGATCTAGCAAGCAAATAGAGAGGATGCAAAGGGAGAGTTGAAAACATCAAGACCACTAGGATAGATAATAGAAACTTAGTAAGTGTACTCTATCAAAAGTTTATGCAAGTCTTCAACTTCCTGATTTCTAGCTATTATAAAAGAAAAAAGGGGGAGGAGACGGAGGAGAGAAAGAGAAAAAGGAAGGGAGGAAATCCTGCTGTACTCTTGAGGAAAAAAAAAAATCCTTAATTTGACAGGTTGTAAAAGGACACCAGAGGAAGGAGCAAAACCATAAGGGGTCATAGTCGAAGACAAGGTCCATAACATTTGCACTTGGGTGCACAAGCTCCTGAGACTGGGCGCTCAGGAACGCGGGAGGCTGCAGTCGCTGGCCTACTTCGGAGTGCAGTGTGGTGGATGCGGATGAGTAATTCCCTTAAATAACTGTTTTGCTGCCAACAGACGAAAACACTGGAAGCACGTCCAAAAACTCCTCCGCAATTATAATTATGAGCAAGTGGTTACTCTACGTCCTTCATCAGTGCGGTGACCCTGCTCCTGCTCTTTGCAAGGGCCACGGAAGAGGACCACGGAAGAGCACCTTCTTCCTCTGGCCGTCTTTTCTCTTTTCTCAAAAATCCCTACAAAGTTCTGCTCCTCCAGCCGATCGCTTTGTAAAGAGGAAACAGAGAAAAGGCTGTTCTTTCCTTTCTTCCCCTCTTCTCCCTCGTCCTCTATCCCTCCCTCCTCCCTTCTCTCCCCTTTTCCTTTCTTCATTGCTGCAAAACAAAAAGTGCCGGATCCTCCCAACCCTCCCCTGGAAAGCCTCAGCAAATTAGGCAGGTCAGGCCTGGCTGTGGCAGGGCTCCCCGTCTGACTCTTGGGGTTCGCCTCTCCTCTCTCTCCTTCCAGAGGTAGCGACGAAGGCGCGCACACACAGAAGCAGTGAGACCCGCTCCGAAACTTTCGATTGGTCGCTCCCACCCCCACAAGCTCTTTAAATCCACCCAGTCAGAAGACGGCAGTGCCCTGCGCCTGGCCTTTAGGAGCCGCCGCCGAGAGAACCCCCGAAGAGTTCGCCCCTCTGCTCCCCAACCCGCGGCGGCAGCGAGCGCAGGGCGGCGCGGAGGCCGGGAGGGGGCGCTGTTGCTCGGAGCAGCCGCGGCGGAGCCCGCGCCTCCCACGCCGCTGGCCCAGCCCCGCCAACTTCCAACATCCCGCAGTCGAGCGAGCGAGCGAGCGAGCGCCGGAACGAGCGCCGGGCAGCAGGCAGGGCGCGGCGATTGGAGCACTCCGGGACACTCGCGGCCGGGACCTCGGGGCGGGTGGGGAGCAAGGCCCGCGTGCGGGGCTGCGAGGGAGCGCTCCGCGGCACCTGTTCCTCCCGAGCCGCCTCCCCAGCCTCTGACCGCGCCTCCCCGGCGCCCGCCCGCGCCCGCGATGAACCCGGCGCTGGGCAACCAGACCGACGTGGCGGGCCTGCTCCTGGCCAACAGCAGCGAGGCGCTGGCGCGCGCCGTGCGCTGCTGCACCCCGGCGTCCGTGGTGACCGACGACGGCTTTGCCGAGAGCGGCCCGGACGAGCGCAGCCTGTACATCATGCGCGTGGTGCAGATCGCCGTGATGTGCGTGCTCTCGCTCACCGTGGTCTTCGGCATCTTCTTCCTGGGCTGCAACCTGCTCATCAAGTCGGAGGGCATGATCAACTTTCTGGTGAAGGACCGGAGACCGTCGAAAGAGGTCGAGGCGGTGGTCGTGGGGCCCTACTGACCTCCCGGCCCTCCGGCGGGCGCCTCCTCCGCGCCTCCCTTCCAGCCCCGCTGCACCCCTCACCACCTTGACGGGGCCAGGCAAACCTGTCGGAGTCACTCACTTCTCTGTACTTCCCTCTTTGGAGGAGCGACCACTTTGACTTCCGGGCTCGACAGCAGGTGGCAAAGCAGGGCGATTAGGGCGCAGAACTTTGGAAGCTGCTACTTGCGTGGGATGCAGGCAGACGGAGGAGGCCAAGGCCCTTCCCCTGCAGGTGGGCCAAGCGCTGGGGACAACTGGAGAGGGCGGGCGGGAGAGGCCCGGCGGCACTGATCGCCTGCTGACCGGAACAGTGACCTGTTTATACGCCACGCAACAAACCCAATGGGTACACAGATCCGTGGGCGGATTCGCGCCCACTATCTCTGCTCCCCTGAGCCCCGAGGGAAGCGCTGATCCCTTTGATTGTAATGTGCTGTTTTAAGGGTTTTGTGTTAGTCTGCTTGAGTACAAATATTTGATAAGTATTTTCTGCCATTGTGGCCTGTTTGCCTGCTGGGGTTAGAGTTTTGTCACTGTGGGAGTAAGGGTGGGGGGAGGGGGAAACTGCGAATGTGAATGGGGTAAAGTTGTTTCTTTTAGTGCTTTTCCAACTAAGTCTTTTGGGGGCTTCAGTTAAGCCCGCAACGAAGACTCAAATAGAACTCATAGCTCGTGACTGCACGGTTTACGCCACAAAAGTGCTCTTGATATCCGTGACACCGTTTTGACTTTTTTTCTTATTTAATATTTCCTTAATAAATACAACGTTTAAGTGTTTTGTTCCTGGCCTCCTGGTGGTCATTCTACTCCGCTGGCAGAGAGGAGCAGGCTGCGGTGAGGAGTCTGGTTCCTGGCGGGGCATTTGCCCTGGAAGGCTGGCGCTGGACTGTAGAGCACTTGCAGGGGGCGGGGTGCAAGACAGAGAGGCCTGGTAGTCGAACGGGACGGAGATAAGCCTCAGGCACCGCGCCTTCCCGGAGCCAGCAGCCTTTGTTTTCTCTTGTATTTACTATTTTATATTTCATGTAGTCTCGCTTCCTGGTAGACAAGAGGACCCTCGGGAAGATTAAACTTCCGTCCCAGGCTCCGGTGGGAACCCAGGGTTACTCGCTAATGAAAGGAAGAGATTGCTTGGCCAGCCTTTAGGGAGGGTGGTGTCTCTGCCCTGACCCACATCAACTGGGCGGCACTGGGGTGCTGCTGCAGAAAGAAAAACAATAATAAAATGAGAGGAAAAGTAGCTGCTAAAATACACAATGACGCTGACACTCCCTGGGGCAAACCATTGTTAGTTAAACATGACATATGTTTCTCTGCAGTGCTAGCTTTTCTAGACACAGGATAAGATTAAAAGAGGGATCCAAATAAATGATAAATATTTGAGGTAAGGGATTGCTGATTAGCCTGATTTGCTCACACCTCGATGTATGCGTGTGCTGAAGCACCACACGGTATATGGTAATATATACAATTACTATTGATCAGTTAATCAAAAATAAAACAGACAGACAGAGAGAGAGAGAGAGAGAGAGAGAGAGAGAGAGAGAGAGAGAGAGATCTGCAGCCCAGCCCAGGCCAAGGGGCCAGAGGAGTTAGCCGAGGTGCTGAATGCATGAAATGAGTTCGTGACCAACTGGGAAGGCTCAACTCTAGTAGAACATATTTCGGCTCAGAAATTAAGCAGTGTTGGGAAGGAAAGCCTAAAACCCGTGCCTGTGAAAATAATCCAGAGGATACAAAGTTTCAGGCTTAAACTCAACTGAATGGTTTTGAGCAATTTACATTCATGCCTAGGGTAGGATACTAAAAATTTTCTAGACAATAAAAGACTCACTAGGACACTATAGCAACTGAAATTCCAAAAATTTTAAAACAGGAGCTCCAAGACTAAAATTAAGCAATACTGAAGTATCTCCTGTACTCAGGAAGCAGCACAACAGCATCAGTGACGCCCGATGTTGGCCTCACAAGGTTTGCATGCCCCTGAGCGTTTTGTACACTATCAGGTATCTATTTCACTCCTAAAGTAAGCCTTGCCAATAATTGCAATATTTTTTAATCTTAATGTGTCAGAGTTTAAAAGATAAGGATGTGAAGTTTTGCTTGTTCCTATCTCTTCCAACAGGTAAGGGTTTTTGGTTTTGTTGTTGTTATTGTTTTTCTTCATATCTGGAAGGGATATATTTAACAGTCATGACACATAGTTTACCTTTGTTAATACAAAGGACAGGAAATGGAATCTTCTTATTTTGTAGATAATTTCTTTGGTGTCAAGTTAATCTGCTGCCTCCGTATTTCAAAGAGAGAAAACAGTGCAAGGAGTTCACCCTGGGACAAACAAGACTCGTTTTAAGGGTGTGTGTGGGGGGGGGTTGCAAATCCACTGAGAGACCCTCTTCCTGGAGATTCATTAGTCCACCAGTGAATTATTTACTCTGGTGAAACTTGATCTGGGATTAAAAACAAATCAGTAGAATTCATAGGATTCATGTTTGTTTTCTTCTGTACAGAAAGTGCAGGCTTTCAGCTAGCTTCAGACATAGGGAGATACTTCAAGACTTCAGGTCAATTTTAGATTATTTATAGAGAACAGGTTTTCATTTAAAATAGAAAGTTGAGACAGTGGCCTTCCCAAGATTGAAGACCTCCACTCTCTGCTCTGTCTCACTTACCTCAATGCTTCTTCATACACCTTTCCTCTTTCCAACACCTCAGAAGCTCTTTTCATCCAATTTACTGTTCTCATCTCAGCTATTCATATATATTCTTTTATCTTCAGAAATTAGGATTAAGACAAAACAGAACCTGCAAAATTAGGACCATAGTAGAAAAGATACGTGAACACAGCTTTGTAATCTGTGCCCTATGCACTGTCAGGAAAAACACATGGTCTGAAGTGCATATAGCTCCAGGGATTACTTCCTGCCAACAGCCCCTCTCTCCAGCCATTAGGTCCATTTGTTACTTAGAGAAATGCCAAGTGGTTCTGGGTTTTATAGATGAGGCAAGAAGCTTTTTACACTCCCTATTCCCAAATGGCCACATGGCAGCCACATTTCCAGGCCCCGTACTCCCTCTCCCACTTTGCCTTTGGCTCTCTCTGTCCCTTATTCTAAAAATTACATTAAATGAAACTTTTAAATCCTTCTCAGAGCTTATAGAATTCCAGTCCTTTTCTACAGACATGCTCTAGAAAGTCCCTCTGTGTATTAACTAAGAGACAATGTCAGCCTGAAGAGACAATGGGGGCTAGGGTGGGGGAGGGAGCAGGCAGATTCTGTTATCCCACACTGAGGTCAGTGATCAGAAGGAAAGAGGGAGAGCTAGGAGGAGGAGAGAGAAAGCTCCCTGTAAATGCTTGATCTGGTACAGCGTGGCCCACGTATCTTGTTTGATACTCCCTGAAGACTTCCTGGAAATGCAGTAGACACAGGCAGAGCTTTGCATGAGACACAGCTGATAGATTAGTGGGATACAGGCTGGGCCACTGATACCTCACAGTCTAACCCAGCTGTCTGTATGCAAGTAGCTTAACCAATTATTGATATGCTTTTCCTCTAACATTGTTGATATTACTCTGTCTTCTGTCTTTCTCTGAAAATACAGCCATAGCTTGAACACCAGACACCTTGAGGGAAGTAGAAGGTTTGTTGCATCACTGAGGCAAGCCTAAGATCACTCTAGTTCCTAGTGGGTGGTCTGATTTCTGATTTCCAAGCCCCCTGGCTTCTCACTGGACCTCAAGTCAACCTTGTTATTGTGTCTTCATATGATAACTCTGAGTGAGGAAGGAAAAGGCATGTATAAGATGTTAGCAATTTTGTTTTTCCATCTCTAAGCTGGCTGGTAGCCTCATTCCTAATATAAGGTAGATAGATTCTAAAATGATACTCTACCTGTATAATTCTGTGGAATTAATTTGTTGAACATGTCTTTGTCTCTCATAATGCTTTGTAGATCTCTTCATTGGTCTCAGGAAAATCAAATGTTCCTCCATATGGAATATGTCATTTAAAATAATCAAAGAAAAAATTCAGAACCCTTGTCAGGCCAAGGCACACAACATTTTCTAACCTGATAGATCAGACAACACTGTAGCAGTGTTTTAAATATTCCAGACCTTTATGTTCTCACTGGATAAAGACATTAAAAGTGAAACCCAAGAAATGGGTACACAATTCTTCTAGGCACCCATTCAGCTAATTATTCACTGTTTATAAAAATTAGTTGGTGGGGCCTGGAAGACAGCTCTGTCGCAAAAGGGTCTGCCTGAGGAGAGCAAAGTTCTGAGTTCCATCCCCAGTCCCAAACCAAAACACACACACACACACACACACACACACACACACACACACGTGTGTGTGTGTATGTGTATTTGAAGATTAATAACCATTTTTTCTGTCCCAACATGTATTTTCCCCTCAGTGCTTCTGCCACAGCACACAACGGTTGCTCTGCGTGCACCTTAGAGCCTTGCTGAACCGTGGCTTATCATACTTTGCATTTTGGGGGCTGCAATGCCAGGAAAGGATTCCAGGGTTCATTCAGTAAGACTTAAACCTAGTTTGAAAGCCTGTGGAAGCAGCTAGGCTGCAGCAATTGCCTAAACAGAGATCAATAAATCTTTTATCTGTCTGCCACATCCCATTTAGTCATATGTGCAGTAGCTTAAATGAGATATGCTTTAAAATTAACTCTATCACTAATAATTGTTTCCTAATCTCTAAATTTAAGTATGTAATGGTTGTTTCCAGATATTTTTCATGTTATTTTAGATGTTTACATTTTTGAAGGAACAAGATTAATGTTATAATGACAGGTGTGATTTTAAAATTCTTGAAATGTATTGTTTAAGGAAAAGTATATATTTTCTGGCATCTTTCATTTATAGTGATCATAATAAAATCACATTATTTGTGTTATTTTTGTCATATTTGAGATACACAAATATTTTACAGGAGGCTTCTACAAGGACTATTGTTAAGGATAGCTAGAAATATTTTAGAAATTTGCACACTCACCTTGCAAACACTAGCTTACTTTTAGCCTAAATAATAATATCTACAAACATGAATAAGCTAGGTTTAATTTCATTTATTTAACCACATCTATGTTTTTGAAAGAATAAAGGCTAACTAGTTTTATTTTCTAAATACAAGTAAGAGCTTGCTAGCTAAATATTTTTGATTGAGTAAATGCAAGCATAATGATCAATACAAGAAAGGTCAAGTCATCTGATAATGCTAGAACAAAAGATCTCTGCCCCCCACTTTCCATTAGTAGTAATATTTTATGAACTCGTAATACAAGCAGTCATTTGGTGCTTTAAGCACTCCTGCATAGATAGAACACTGCTACATACTACTAAAAACATGGTATGGTTCCTATTCATTTGAACCATAAAATACAGGCACAAACATACATAATCTACCCATAAGAGCTGTATAATAAATTGTTTCTATTCACTCTTTCTGAAATTCTCAGTGATATAAACATACATATATAACTGTGTCATTGCCTACGTGTTGGCATAATTAATTATAAGGAAAAAAGTTGCAGTTTTTCTTAAGAATTTTTTTCTGTATTCATCTCTCCATTCTTAGCAATTTCTCCTTTATTATTCACTCTATCTCTCACCCACATCTAAAGATACACAGCCCTGAAAGAGTCATTGATTTTTATCAAACCAAGACTTCAGATGTCCAATTGCTTTAGGAAATGAATCCCTCTGGGAGCCAGAGTTTCTCCTTTGCTTTATTTATTTTCTTATAAATTGA